CAAAGAACTACCAAGCATCAGGGAGGGAATTTGAACCAAGGTGTTCCTGACTCCAAATCTAGCACTCTATCTCATTTCAGTACACTGACTCACCAAAGCTGAGAGAAAACATTTATCAAACACTAATCTGTATCATAGTCAATACAGTTCTTCCAACCAGCTTGCAGATACAATTTCTTCTTTCTTTCCCATGATAGACAATGAATGGTATTTTGTACTAAAAATGCTTCTATCATACTTTGTATTTGCACTATGCTTTAATTTCAAGTGACTATATATATGTATGTATATGTGTGTGTATATATATATTATATATATACACATACATACATACTTATATATGTACGTGTGTGTGTGTGTATGTGTAGCCTTTGGGTCCTCCCAATGTGAAATAAGCAGAGAAGGTATTTAACTATATTTTACAGATGAGGGGGAAAAAAGATGGAATTTTTTTAAAGTTTGAAGAATATTTTAGAAGGCTTAGGTTTTCCAATACCACCTCTCCTAAGAGTAAGCTGTTCTTTAGATTAGACAACTATGCTACAGTATAACCACTAGATCTAGAATCAAGATTGAGAGCTAGGTTTGAATCTTGCCTCCAACATTTGTTAGGAATGAGACCGTTAAGCAAATCATTTAATTTCTTTGAGTCTCAATTTTCTCATCTATTAAATGATGGACTTGAACTATGTGATATTCTAGCTCTAAATCCATGATTCTATATGCCATATAACCCTAACCCTAAATGCACACTACATAAATATTTATCATCATCATTTAAAGTCAAAAAACTGATTTTGATTCCTACCTTGGCTCCTTTATACCTGGGTAACTATCTCCTTAGGTGGACTTTATTTCCACATCTATAAAATGAAGGGGTTGGATTTAGACTAATGCTAACAAAATTACTAAAATGAACATGCCCTTTGACTTAGAGATTCCAGCAATAGGCATATACTTGCAAAGAGATCAGGTAAAGAAAGGTTCTAGATTGATCAAAATATTCATAGCAATACATTTTGTAATGGTAAAGAACTGGAAACAAAGTAGATTCTGTCCAAAGATTAGAGGAATGGCTAAACAAATTTTGGCACATGAACACAGAACTTATTTTACTATAAGAAAGGGAAAATATGAACAATTCACAGAAGCATGGGAAGACTTATATGAACTGATGCAGAATGAAGCAAGCAGAACTAGGGAAACAACATACATAATAAAAACAATGTAAATAGAAAGAACAACAACTAAAATACTCCCCTGAATGCCATGCAGTGCTAATGATCAGTGTTGTCCCAAATGGCTCTCCTTTCTTTGCAGAGGTAGGGAGGCCTACAAGTATGGAACACTGACTATACTGTCAGACTCAGCTGATGAATAGGTTAGTTTTGTTTAGTGTTTCCATGTGGAAATTCCTTCTCAGCATTTCTTGAGAAATTTATATTTTTTCTTGACCCTGACAGAAATCATTCAAGAAATTGGGAAGAAGTATGAGAATTCCCTTGTGGGAATTAAAGGTTGACAATCAACATGGAGATATTATTGGCTCAAAGGAATCCAAAAGCAAGAGTGGGAAAAGAAGACACCTTAGTGTCAGAGGTTAAAGTCAACATTTCCGAGAACCGTAACAGAAGGAGAGAAGTGGTCATGATCTAATCTTATAAGTTGCCATCTTATAAGTGTGTGTTTTTAGCTCTGTCTGCTGCTAATGATGAGTCATTATTGCAAATAAATAAGTTTATATGTATGGTATACTTTATAGAAATCCTATCAGTTTTGTTACAAGAAATAGCAAGTTTTTGGAAGCAAAGAAAGTCCTTAAGTTGGCATTTTCTTTTTTTTTTTTTTCAAAATGCAATTATTCCATCTCTGTGATTTCAAATGTTATAGAACATGATGGACAAATAAGGCAAATAAAGCAAACTGTTCTATTCCTTTTATCCCAATTAACCTTTTGCAAGTGTCATGGTATTCAAGAGGCCTTGTGAATAACCCTCTTCTACCAACCCACCTCAGATAGTCTATAGCTCAGCTGTGAGAAGTGCCTTTTCTATCTGAGCATTTTTTTAGTCACTATTACTATTATAAAACAGCCTGAGAATCAGGAAAATTAGATTTCTTCATATTTTTGTATCTTCAAAGCTAAATTGACAAGATTTAGAGGAAACTAGGAGACACCTTAATTTGTGTGCTTACTACCAAACTTTGGGAGCTCAAAATGGTTTCTTAGAAGGCTTCAAGAACTTCCTGCTTTTTTTATTCCATTTGAATCCTCTTCCTAAAAGCAGACAGTGGTCTCTTAAAGGCTGACCTCTTTTTGGCTAGCTCCATACCTTTAACCATTATTCAGTCTTTATCCAAACAAAATGGTTACAATTTAAATAGTGGAGTCACTCCCAGAGCATCAGAGGTGTGCTTCCAGGAAAAAAAAAGTTTATCTAATATTTATCAGTGTGGGTTCAGCATTCAGGACAACCTATCCATCCTGTCTCAGGAGTACAGGTATCACTATTTATACGCAAACTACGATATAAGTGCAGCAGACCAAGTAACATTCTGATCATCTGAAGAATTGTTTTCTTATGCCATGTTTGGTACTGCAAGATGCCACACCAGCTAGGTGTCATCTACCAACTGAAACCAAATGATAAAGGTCATTATGACCCTTTTGTAAAGAAATTTAAGGGAATCTTCCTGTAAAAAGCTTGTAAAATCAATGGTCACCTCCAGAGAACAGTCTTTTTGATGTCTTAATGTTTGTAGTTGAAAAGGTCATCTTGGAGGCTACAGTCAAGGTCAAGAAGAGCTTTCAGATTTTTCTTTGCTATGGTCCAGGAACTCCAGCCCTTCTATAGGAATCTCTTTCTCCTTGATTGCTTCCTGCACGCACTGCTGGTAGTGCTTGAAGAGGTCGGTGCCCTTGAGGAACAAGCATTGATCACACTTGTGCTTCATGTTTGTGCAGGCCTCTCCCACACTGTTCCTGGTGACCAGCCCTGCAGTGGCTTAAATTGGCATTTTCAACATGTGATTCTGTAAAGCGTGGTTAACCTTGCTAGGAGACCTGAATGTTAGTGTTATTCAAAAACTACTCAGTAATGTTTGCTGGCATTTTCCAGTGTTTGAATACTTGCTATAGAATATAGTTTTCTGTTAAAAACTATTATACACTTATCCATTTCACACTGTGACTTTTGTGGTTTTGATACATCATGGGTCAGCATAAGAAATTAAATGGGAATTTTTGGGGAGTCTACAGAAGGCACAGATGACATGTGAAGGCCAGCAGATGACACAGAGCCTTAACCCAAATTTTACAATAAGGTACTGTAAACATCCATGAAAGAAAAAGAAAAAAAATCAGACTTCATCTCTGGTTGGTACAAAGAGAGAGTCAAAAAATTTTACATACATTTTCCAGATGGAAGGGGCACCACGTCCCTTAACCCCTGTGATGTGGATTGGATCACTATACAATATTTCTTATTTATTAAGCAATTTTTTTCAATATCCATACTGATGAGTAAAGAGTATGAAGAATATTGAAAGTGTATTGAGAAAAATAAAGGAAATCAGTCAGCTTATTGCCAGATATGATTTAAATCACTGTAACAATATTTTAGTTTGTAATAATAATCAGCCATAAATTTATTATTACAATCTTCAACATTCCTTTGAGTTTAACTTAAAGTATTTGCTTGATTGTATTAATAACCTTATTTTCACTTTCACGTTGGCAACTGAGCACATTCACGACTATTCGCAGTAAAGAAAAAATGAAATGCACAATGACGTACAAGTTTATCTCTGCAAAAAGGAGGGAAGTATTTGTAAAAGTGATTGTGAATCTGCTCCAGAAAGTGCTAAACTCACCTCTCAAGTTCATGATGAGGGAATTGAAAAAATGGAAAAGCAACTAAGTTTGTGGATAAATCAAATGATGGTCACCCCCATCCTCTTGCCTTCCAGTGACCAACTGAGCATCCCACCTTCCCTCACTGCCCGTGCCATTGGGTTTTCAAGCATCCTGGCCTACCAGCATGGCAGGATCCCCTGCTGCTCCTCAGTGGTCCCCTGTCTGCCCCCCAGGGAGCAGAGCCCCTGGTGGGAGTTCTGAGCACTGACTAGGGGTTGAGGACCCACCCTGAGGCACATGCTTTTTACTGGGAACAGTTCAATCCTGAGCCAGAACCAAAAACAGACATTAGAGACGTCAGCTGTTGCCCCTTTCCCTTTTTTACCTCAGGGTTCTTCTGACATTCCATTCCTTTACCCTCCATATTCTGTCTCTTCTCCCCTGCATTTTTAACTTACATCATGGTTACTGTGTTAGGAAAAGTGCATATTATCAGAATTAATGCTTTGTTATAAAGAATTATACACAGAAAATTGTATTTTCAGCAATCTCTAGTAAAATATTACAGATTTGGGTGGTCACAGGAACCTAACAACATATTTCCTATTTTTTTTTTTACTTTCATGATATTTTCTAGGAATGTTACTCCAGTGAAAGTTGAGGATTGACTATATATCATTTCTTTTTAAAGAAAACTTCTAAAACTTGTAGTATAGCCTTGTTCATAAAAAAATGATTCACTGTTTATTATTACGGTCACTTATTATCATGTAAAAACACATGAAATGTTATAAAAAATAAAACACTAATTTAGGATTTCAAGAATTTGGTAATTTCAGAGAATTACTGAGAATTCCAATTTCTCATTCCTGAATCCTAAAGATGATTATCTGTTGGGAATTTAGAAACACTAGCTTTGTTAAGCTGTTTCCCTTTCCACTTTTTTTTTAATTATCATAAGAGATGTCTCAATGGAAAGAGGAGAGGGGAAGGATATATTTCCACATGAAGGTGAGATAAAAACAAACTATATTGATACAATTTTAAAAAAAAAAGCTTTAATGAGGATATTGGGCTTGAATGACCCTCCAAGTTCTAAAGCCCATGACAATTTCCAAGTATTCAGAGGTTCACAGACAAGAAATTGAGAATACCATTTTAATATGTAAATTAGATGCCAATTCCTAATAAAGCATATGCAAACTTATACACTGTTTTAAGTTGAAGTTACAGGCGGGGATATATTCCCTTGACACACCAAACTCCTAGAATTGGAGTCTATCCAAATCACCAGACAGTTTGCAGAATCTAGAAAGAAAATTTTTAAAAAGACTGGTCAGTATTTGGAGAAATAATCACCATCATTTTCCACATTCTACTCTACATCTAAGATTCAGTCCCTTAACACATCTAACAAACAAAACTTTAAGTATATCTGTTGGCAGATATGGATTGTTTTCTTTACAAGTTGTTTCTTCAAAAATTTTCCATTTATTTAAAACATCATTAGCCAATCTTTGAAAAATCTGTAGGAGAAACAGAAAATAACCAAAACCTGCCATCTTGAAGCCAGTGTTTTTACAATTTACACTTCTCTTTACTTTTCTTGATCTTTAACTTTTGAGGTTTATGGGAGCTTGTTGACTAAATCTTAAGTTTTAATATTCCCACACCTGTTGTTAATTCCTCCTCTTGGCTAAAGAGAGACTGCAAGATAAAATTATATCTTGAACACAAGTGCACAGTTATCTCTATGACATTCTCTTCTTATCTGTATTTCAAGTTCTTCCAACTGGACTTATGACACTAAAGCAGTTAATAATTTTAAGCAGATTTGTTTTTTAAGTCAGGAGATGGAGATAACATTTCATTATGATGGGAAGGGCAAAAATAAATCTTATTAAGAGGTAATTAATATAGGTGGCTGACTAGGATACCAGATTCATTTTTGTATCCCCAGTATGAGGATATAGTAGGGCACAATTTTTTTTAAGCAGACTTGTGATTTCATTGATAAGGAAACTTCCTCTACCAATAAAGGAAACTCACTCTACCAAATCAGATCAGCAATCTGCTCTGCAATTTACAATCTTAGAGAATGACCTGGGGCACTGAAAGGTTAAGTGTTTTGTCCAGGGTCATACAGCCAAAATGTGGCAGAAGTGGGACTTAACACTCAGATTTTCCTGATTCCAAATCAGTCAATTAGTCAAGAAGCATTTATTAAGTGCTTACTATTTGCTAGACACTCTGCCAGGTGATGATGATATGAAGAAAGGCAAAATCATAGTCTCCCTTCTCAAGGAGCTCACAATCTAATGAGACAAAATGCTAATAAGGGTAAACCCAAGATACACACGCCGTAAGCGGAAGATGATCTCATAGGGGAGGCACTAACAGTGGGGCTAGAGGTTGAGGGGATGGGATCAGGAGAGACCTCCTTTAGAGAAGGTAAAATTTGAAGTTAGTCTTGAAAGAAGCCAGAGAATCAAGGAGTCAGTGCTGAGGATGGAGAACATTCCAGGCTGGAGGGAAAGCCAATGCAAATGCACAGTAATGCACAGTCAGGAAACAGTGTTGTGCATGAGGAATGGCAAGGTCAGAGTGGATGAATCATATATAGTCTGCAGAGGAAAGTAAAGTGTAAAAAGAATAGAAAATGATAGACTGTGAAGGGCTTTAAACGCCAAACAAAATATTTTATATTTTATCTTGGAAATAACAAAGAGACGTTGGAATTTATTGAGTGGGGGGGGGGGTGACATGGAGAGACTTGTACTTTAAGAATATCACTGACAGCTGAGTGAAGAGTAGATTGGAATGGCAAAGGGGCTCATTAGTCTAACAGAGAGGTGATGAAGACCTAGATTAGGGAGTGAGTGGAGAAATTAGAGATGTTAAGAAGGTAAAAACAAGATCTGACAACAGATTAGATATAAGGTGAGTGCAAGTGAGGGATTGAGGATGACATTAGGGCTGTGAGTCTGAGTGACTGAAAGGATAGTCATCCCTCAACAGTAATAGGAAGGAGGGGGAGTTTTTTTGGGGGGGGAGGAGGGGGAAGATGAATTCTATTTTGTACATGTTGAGTTTGAGATGCCTCTGGAACATCCAGGTTGAGATATCCAAAATGTAGCTAGTGATGCAGTGTATGAGCTAGAGAGAGCAACTAGTTCTGGATATATAGATTTGGATATATCTGCATAGATATAACTGAATCCTTGGGAGCTGATGAAATCACCAAGCAATATTGTAGAGGAGAAGAGGGCTCAGAACAGAACTTTGGGGGACACACATAATTAATGAACAACACCTGGATGAAAATCCAGTAAAGAAGACTGAGAGGGAGCAGTTAGGTAAGAGAAGAACCCAGAAAAAACAGTGTAACAAAAATCTAGAGGAAAGTGATTGACTATGCCAAAGGCTACAAAGAGATCAAGAAGATGAAGATTGAGATAAGGCCACTGGATATGATAATTAAGAGATCACTACTAGCTGCAGACAGAATAGTTTCAGTCGAATGATGGAGTTGGAAGTCCAATTGCAGAGGGTTTACAAAAGAGTGAGAAGCTAGGAAATTGAGGCACTTAGGGTAGACAGTTTTCTCAAGGAGTTTATCTGAGAAGAGGAGATTTAAAAGAAGGTAGCTAATGGGGATAGTAGTATCAAATGGTAGGATCAAGGATCCACAAGTAGGACTAAATTAAGGTTGGAAGAGACATGGGCTTGTTTGTAGATAACAGGGAAGGAGCCAGAAGACAGGGAGAGACTGAAGATTGGAGACAGAGTGGGGATGATAGTGGGGGGCAATCTGCTGGAGCAGATGAGATAATGGTGGGATCAAGGACATATGAAAAGGATTTGCCCTGGCATGAAACACCACCTCTTCACAAGAGAGAGGAGTGAAAGTAGAGATTTTGAGAGACAATATCTGAGTGAGATAAGGAGGCAGGGAGAAGAAAGAGCTCTCAGAACATCACTTCAATTTTTTTTTCAGGAAATTATGGAGGGAGGGAGAGGAAGAGAATGCTAAACAAAGGATGAAAAGATTTGGAATAGCCACTGTGGTAAGTGGGATATTACAGAGACATAAAAGGATTATCGCCTTGCTGAAGTAAAAGCCCAGTTGGGATTATATAGCATTAAGTTGTAGAGGACCCAGTCAGCACAGTTCCATGATTTCCTCCAGCTCTGTTCAGCAGCACATAAACAGGAGTGAAGAAGGAAGATGGCAGGAGTAATCCAGGATCAGGGTACACCCTGACTTGAGTGCCCCACCCTGACACCAAGACTTGATTGATAATATGGAAAGGAGGTAAAGGATTTGAGAGAAGATAATATTGTAGATTTTAACTGATTCACCAACAGATCAAGATAGCAAAAACAAGAAAGTGTGGACAGTGCAAGAGTGATAGCCTAGGAAAAAACTGAGGAATGAAGGGACTAGACATGATGGTGGGATGAAGAATAGAGTTAGGGATCACAAGGCATAGGAAAATATGGAATAAATACAGATAAAGGAATTTCGGAGTTCATGAAATATGAAGCTAAAATACTTGTGGGTGATGGTAAAAATCAGGAGTATGATCATATTTGTGTAGCTGGGTTAGTATGCAGAAGTAGATCATGGGAATTGAGTAGACTGAGGAACTGGGAAGTTATGGTAGTTGAGGGAGCATCAATATGTATATTGAAGTTCCCTATTAATAAGGCAGGAGTTGTAGTAAAGACAAAGACTGTGAGACTTTGAACTCAATGAGGAAGGAAGGAGAATTTCAATTCTCTGTCTACCATGCTACAGCTCCCTCTATAATTTTAACACTGTAGGCACTTAACAAATGTTTATTAAATACTGTTGCAACAGAACTCCAGCTCGGAAGAACTTCAACAGAACATTATTCTCTAGCTTGGAAGAAAAGAATTCAAAATGTATTTCCAGAGCTAACTCCATAAAAATTGCTGCTTAAGTCATTTTCTTTATAATCTGAATAAATCTAAAATGATTTGTATAGGGGGAGTTTTGTTTCTAGAGATACCTATAAAATGTTATAATAAATATATTTTTTCTTAGTATTTCCAGGATGTAGAGTAGACTAAAAACCCACTTTAAATATGAAGAAACAAAAGCAGCTCCCCTAAGAGCATAAAGACCTTGCCAAAGATCAGATGGCAAATTAGCAGAAAGGTTTTAGTAGCTAACTTTCAAGTCTATTGCGAATACATTTACTGGTTATATGCATCACACATCAGAAAAGTCCAAAGTACCTTTGGGAGACACGTCACTCATCTTTCTTCTCAATCATTTTTTTTGGTGTGGCCTCCAATTTTTGTTGCCTTTGTGCTTCCAGTCTTTTTCTCTGCCACATTTTGGCTCCGGCAAATGCCAAGCAAAGAATTATAGATTTTGCGATCAAAATATAGATCAGAAGAGGAAAGTTTTCCCAAGCCTGAAAGAAGACAGAAGTCATTTTTGAGCTGTTTTGATAGTTTTTACTTGGCATTTCTTTTGATAACTATGACTAGTTGCTTTCACATCCCTCAGTTCATTCTTGCTGTCTGCCTCATAAATGACCACCTAATATTCACAAATGCACAATTATTAATATGGCCAACCTGTGTTTACTCAAGCATTGACCATTCAGTTTATGCTATATATTCTTTGGAAGCACCACAGTATATGTGATGTTACCTAGAAAAAAAAAAGTTGTCACACACCAGGACTAGAATCATGGCTCTGCCACTGACTACCTTTGTGATTTTTGGACAAGTCATTTTCATTACTCTGGCCTTACATGTGAAATCAAGCATTGGACTATGTGGAACAGTAGAAATCATGCTGGATTCTGGCTCAGAGGATCTGGGGTTCAAAATCCAGCTTTGCTACTGGGGCAGGGATAGGGGAGAGAAGGCAAGTCATCACTCTGAAATTCAGTTCCTCATCTGTAAAAAGAGAATGTTGGATTAGATGGTCTTAAGTGTACTAAGAATACAACTCTTAAATTTATTATTACCCTATGATTCCAAAGTACCTTGAGGTCTACAATGCTATGATAACCTTTTTCTTCTGGTTGCTTATTAATATTTCCACTTGAGGATAAACAGAAAAATAATAGTTAGCATTTACATAAAGTTTTAAGGTTTGCTAAGTACTTTATATACTTATTTGGTCATCACAGAAACCCAGTGAGATAGATGCTATTATTACACCCATTTTACAGATGAGGAAATTGAGGCAAAGCAAGTAAGTGATTTGGCCAAGGTCACACAGCTAACAAATGTCTAACACAGGATTTGAACTTAGGTCTTCTTACCTCCAAGTCCTTTGCTCTATCCACTTCATCATTTAGGTGCCAATTAAGTTATTTGTTAAATGATGAGAGAAAAATCATCTAATTGAAGAGATTTATACTACTGACTAAAATGAGGTCTGGAGATTTACTTACAGATTTTAATTATCCAAACTTTCCAATCCTAGAGCACCCTTGATTATTGTGTCTTAGAAGGGAGATAATAAAGAGTTGGTTTTACAGTAAAATCCTACTTTTATGTAATAATAGTTCAAGGAAAATTTCATTTATAAAATAAGAATGGTAAAAACTATGTCCCTGATACTAGATAGTTGTAAGAAAGTCACAGAAAATGTCATAGCTGGAAGGATCTAATTCAATTTGAATAAAAATTCTGTCTACAACAACCCAATGAGTGATCATACAGTCTTCCTCTGAAGATCTCCAGTTAGGAAAAGAACTCACTACCTTCTAAAGCAGGATTTAAAAAAAAATAACTCTAATTGTTAAGATGTTTTCTTTATATCAAGCCAAAATCTGTTTCTCAGTAATTCTGGTTCAGCACATTGAAGCCAAACAGAACAAATCTAAATCATCCTCATCAATATGACAACTTCAAACAACCAATGGAGCTATCATCTCCTCCCCCCAAATCAGCATCTCCCTCTAATTCTTCCATTTCTGTTGGTAACAGCACCATCTCCCCAGTGACCCAGACTCATAACCTGAGAATCATCTTTGACTCTTTCTCTCCTTCACTCCCAATAGCCAACCAGTTGCAAAGTCCTACAGATTCTGTCTTTGTAATATCTCTCAAATCCGGCTCCTCCTCTCAGTGTTGGAGTTCAAGCCCTCCTTTCTTATCATCTAGGTTACAGCCTTCAAACTGGTCTTCCTTTTCATACTCCATACCCTCTCTACTCAATCCTTCACTATGTCTTACATGATGTTCTTAATGCAGTATTCAGATCATGTCATCTTCTACTCAAAAAATGTGTGGCTCCCACGGCCTATTAAACAAGGATTAAACTTTAGATTGATTCAAGGCAGTCTTCAGTCTGACTCCAATCTACCTTTCTAAGCACCTTTCAGTTTTAGCCCAACTGAAATGCTCCCTGTCCTCCATCTTAGCCTGTTTTCCTTCTTCTCTATGTCTTTGCTCATACCATTCCTCATGCTCCACCTCCTACTGCTGCCTTCCATCCTTAAAAGCCCAACTTCCTTCCCTAGTCCTCATAATCTCCCAGAAGAAAGTAATTTCTTCCTTCTGAAATTTCACATTGCACCTGTCAAAATATTAGGAGACACTCTGTTTTCCAGAGCTAAAGCACAGCAAGCAAGCTGTGCCCTGAGCGTAGCATAATAACAATCCTTTGCGCTCACCTGCTGGATGATCTCAGACACAGCAAAACCACAGAACTGGGATTTATTATTTTAACTATTTAGCCCTATTTCCCAGTGGATCCTGACCTGAGAGCTGAAACTGCAGCTGACATACCACAGCAGAAAGTGATCAATCATATCTCCCTACACTTTGAACAATTCCCATGCTTGTAACAGCTAAGTGAACCAAACCAGGAGCTGTAATCCTGTTTCTACCATGCTAACTCTGGTTCTGTAACCCACTGAATGATAACAAGGCTCAATGACCCTTAAGGCTTGAGACAATCACAAGGCTCAACGATTCCCACAGGACCCAAGAACACCTGTGTTATCCCCCAAAATTGCATGGGTGGGCTTGCTGTGGGAACTGTTTACTCAAGACCTAAGAATGACTGTGTGAGTCCTGCCTTTTTGTGGTTTTCATGCTTAAAAACCCTACCTCTTCCATAAGCCATAAGCCCTCCTCAGGAGGACTTCCACTTGCAAGCACTTTTCTTACTTTGAAATTAAACTTCTGCTTAATTCCTGACTCTCCTCTCTCTAGCTTGCCAGCTTCAGCTCCAGTCATCCACAGGTTAGAGACTGGTTTAGTCTAGTTGATACACCTTAGACCTTTCATAGAAGCAGAGAATCTCAGAGCTGGAAGGGACCTAAGATGCTATCTAGTCAAAATCATGGCCAAACCAGTCAACGCTGAGCATATTGAACCTAACAATTGATCATCTAGCATTTGCTTGACAACCTGTAGTAAAAAGGAACCCACTACCTACTGATTTCTAATTCCCTCCCTGGACCTCTTTTCTCATCTCTAAAATGAAGTGGTTAGACTAAATAATCTCTAAAGTTCCTTCCATTTCCAACATTTTATGATTCTATATTAAGATTTAAACAATGCTTTTGAATAATTTATGTAGGTTTTCATTCAAATATGTTTATATCCTAATTAGAAACATTGGCATTCCTATTCTCATCCCAATAATTTTTTCCCTCAACAAAGTTAACCCCCCTCCCCCATAAAACTCTCAGGCTAAATGGCCCCTTTTGATAAGACAATTTTCTATATTTTGACTGTGAACCATTCCCATTCTATAAAAATGGACTTTATGATAAACATTTCAAATACACGTCAATTCCTGTTACAACAAATATCATTGCTGTGTAAAAAGATAACGTATAACTTTGAAATGCCACTTACTTAAAGCAATATCCAATACCGTGGAATTCCAGTATAGGAAAATAACCTGGATATCCCTTTGGTATATATTTGAAGAAACTATGAACTTTGACTTTATAGTCCGTATATTATTTTCAAAGATTTTATAGAAAAGGAAAGGAGATTATGGAAAATCAGTTATTGATATTGGCTTGAATGTCTTTTTTCCATAATAATAATGAAGTCCTAGAATTTTCCCAATTATTTGTTATCCTCCACTTTTTCAGATGTGTTGAGAATTGATCCCTCAGTGCTTTCAAAATTGTGTCACTTCAAGTCTAGCTTTCTCTATATCCTTGTTTTTATCTAGCTCTTTCCATCTTTTGTTTTCTTTATTGACAGTCCTCCTTTCTCATGCCGCACGCTGAGGAGTAAGATTCTAAATACAATGAATCCACTGTTACTGATAGAGAAAATAGTTGTTACAGAAATGTTGACACATCTTTTCCATTGTTCACATCTGTTGCATTTAAGATCCATCCTTAAATGCTGAGATGATCTGTTTTAAATGAGCGTCTCACTAAGCTTTTCAATGAACTTGATTTTCCTTCTTGGTGTCTTATGAGGTGATAATGCTCAAAATATTCCATTCTCCTCCTTCCTAATATTTTTCAAATGAGTTTATCTTCTAAACTGTTGTAACCTGTAGCTTTCCTTTGTAATTGGCAATAGGATCAACTATTTGGTAGCTAAGGCAGTTTCTAGCCTCCTCCTATCTCCTTGTGGAAACTGATTTTCTTTACTGCATTCCAAGAAAGCCTTATGACTGTACGTCACAAATGCTTTGCTTAAGAAGAAAGTTGAGAAAAGAAGCAAAGAGTAGTGGACAGAGAGCTGGCCTTAGAATTGGAAACGCCTGGGTTCAGATCTTGTCTCATTTGTCTGTGTGACCCTGGCCAAACTACTTAACCTAGTAATAACCCCAGACAACTCTCTAAGACTATAAGTTGCAGAACAGTTGCCACTCTACATTAGTAGAGGGAAGTTTCTTCATTTGGAGCTCCATTTACCAGTAGAATCACAAGATAACTCAGAGTCAAGAGGTCTTAGACATGGCAAATACCAAATAACATTACTAAAAGCAAAACTGATTATATTTTAACTGACAGGCCTGTCTGTGGGAGTCTTTCTGAATTTGTTGTCTGATAAAAATGATAGGTTCATTAATTAGGAGACTCCAACTTGACCTATTTAAATAAGTTACTGATTCTAAAAAATGAGAAAGATATAATTACAGACATTGACACAGAATATTACTATTTCCTAAGGAATTATAACTTCTAAACCCTAAAAGCTGGTTAGATATCAACATCATAAACGTAAGGGAAAACACTTGAAAGAACTGGGGATATTTATCCTGTAGAAGAGCAGAGATAGTAGGACATGACAATTACCTTCAAGTATTTGAAGAGCTGTTATGTGAAGGGGGATCTGACTTATTCTGCTTGGCCCTAGAGACAGCACCTGGAGCAATGGGGAGAAGCTGGAGCAGTAGATTTAGGCCTGGCATAAGATAAAGCTTCCTAACAATTAGAGCTCCATCATTAAGTGCTTCAAATAGCTGCCTTGGGAAACATAGGATCATAGATTTAAAATCAGAAAGAACTTTAGAGACCATTGATTACAATGCCCTCAGTTAAAGGGGAGGAAACAGGCTCAGAGAAGGTATTTCTCCAGCTATTAATTGAATAAATCATGATTAGAATTCAGGTCTTCTTGACTATATACATATGCATAGTACTCTTAACAACTACAATATGATACCTCATTGGCTGCTGGAGACATTGGGTTCCCCATCACTGGAGGCCATTAAGCAAATGTTGGATGATTATTTGTCAGGGATGTCAAAGGGAATTCTGTTTTAGGTATGGATAAAAATAAACCTTTTCAGCTCTGAGATTCTGGGATTCCATTAAATGTTTTTCCTACCACATATGAACTATACAACCTAACACTATGAACTTTATTGCGAGGAGACAGTGAATTGAACATGACCATTCTCAAAATACAACTTTTAAAAATAGGATGAACCTGCCCTTGTCACAGGTTCAGGGCTTCACTTTTATTTCCTACAATAAGGGGGGAAAAATTATAATCTGGCAATACCATCTACTTTCAATTTTAAAATGTTTACTGAATAAGAAGACTATGTTTCCAGAATAGTCAACTCCCTGATGTATTAACATGGCATCTCAGTAGGCACACAGAGATCTCCTGGCTTAGCTGGTAGAGACATAACACTCTCATGTTTAAAAGTGATTTTATCCACATAGGTGGTATTGAGGGGGGAAATCTTTCTACATGGTCCCCTATTACTCCTATTTAAATAAGCCATATAATTTGGGTACTGTCTAATACACCTTGTTCTATATTGCATCTCATTGATTAATCACCTTTCTTTGAAAACCATTATCTTCATAAGAATTTCTTCTCTTCCCACAACCTTTTTGCTTATTTTTTTAATTGGTGATAACAGACACCAGTCGATTGGTGTACCTAGTAATAACCAGTTACAAGCTTTCCAGGTCTTTCTGGTTGCCAGCTCAAGTTAATGAGTTTACACTAGGGCCAGTGTTACCTATTCTGCACAGTGAAAACCCTATGGTTTAGATTTTTGTTACAAGTTTTTTTTGTGCTCTGCTAGCACAGACATCAAGTCTAAAGTTTCTGTCCAAGTTTCTGAACATTCAAAATTCTCCTTACCTTGGAGGAGGGCTCCCGCATATTGGATCAATTGTGAAACTGCTCCTGGCTAGAGGTCACCAGGAGAGAACAAAGGAAGCAGAGAAAGGAAAAAGAGGCAGATCCCACTTATCTGGAGAAACAAAGGACAGTTAATTTACCAACAATAACTACAGTTATATAGAACTACACAGTTTGCAAAACACGACATAATTTTCTCAAGGGAGCCTCACAGCTACCACCTGAAGGAGATACTATAGGCATTATTAACTCCAATTTCCATATAAATTAACTGAAGCCTAGGAAGGCTATAAGCATAACAAAGTGAAAAGAGGCCTAAGATCATATGATTTAGAGCTGGAAGTGGCAGGATTTGAACCCATGTGTTCTTGACTCTTAGGTCTAATATCCTATCCCTTAAACCAGAAGATTCTGGTGTTCTTAACCTGGTGCATGTGAACTTTTTTTTTTAAACTAATTTGGTAAGTGTATTTCGATATAATTGCCCATTTTGTAATCTTATGCATTTAAAAATATTATTCTGAGATGGGGTCTATAGGCTTCACTTGACTGCCAAAGGGGTTCATGACACAAAAACCTCTCGCCTAAACACCTTGTCCCACCAAGGTACTGCCCCTCTCAATGCATTTTGGATCTCTCAATTTTGCAAAGGGAAATAACACATGTTACATCATTCTGGAAGCATTTTTTCTCTAGGAGAGCTTGGTGTAAGAAGCTGACTGACAGCAACAAAACCAATGACAGCTTGGCCAGAAATGAACAGGTTTTAAGTAAGTATCAATAGTATAAGCCCAAGACAGGCTCTGACCTTTCTGAATGCAGACAGATCCTTACTGCAGCTGTTCATGAAGAATGTGCTTCTCAGAGGTGAGCGGGTTTCACTGCAGTCTTTACTGAAGATTTATATGCCCTCTGTGGAAATAGGATGTGGCTCCTATTTGCCTTTCACTCCACACCTCCTATCTCTGTCTGTGGGCTGTGTTTTGTATTTTATGCACTGTTCTTTTGTTTCTTGCTTTTCAAGTCTCTTATCAAGGCTTAGATGTTTTGATTTCAAGTAATGTCTAAAAGGATGGGAAAACCAAAGAGAAGGATGCATACAGTTGTCCTGAGAAGCCAATGCATATTTAGAGTTCTTCCTAAGACCTAAGGAAGCAGTGGGGGAAAGAGAAGTGGGAAGAACTATGGCACACCACCATTATCATAATTGAGACATAGAATTTGTTTAGAAAATCAGGATTCTAATCCTAGATCTGACACTTGCTTTGTAATTTTGGGTAAATTACTTCTCTTTGCTGGGCCCTAAATTCCTCAGCTATATGAAAGAGGGTATAGAAGATGACATCTCAGGTCCCTTCCAGCTCTATGATCAATGATTATAAGCTTCTTGCTTAACTTTTTTCTGTTTGTCGCACAAACACCCACATGCCAAAGATATTAAAACACCTAATAAATGCACGCTCCTTGGTTTTAAGTTTTTTAACTACCTCCCACCCAAAATTATTGACTACTCCTCAGTCAAATCCCTAAGGGAATACAAACCAATATAAAAACCAAAACAAAACAAAATCTCTACTCTATTTTTATACTACATAATAGTTCTTAAACCTGGATTTCTATACAGACTTGAATGGTTAGCCTTTTTTTTGGGCTAGGCAGTTGGGTCAAGTGACTTGCCCATAGTCACACAGCTAGTAAGTGTTATGTGTCTGAGGCTGGATTTGAACTCAGGTCCTCCTGAATCCAGGGTCAGTGCTCTATCCGCTGCACCACCTAGTTGCCCCTATAGTTAGCCTTTTTAACCAATGACTATTGATGACTCAACTTTGGGGATGAATGAATATGGCACTTTAAATACATAGCTTGTTTTCAACCCCTAGGACAAGGTCTCTTTATTCAGGATCTAAGAACTTGGTTTTAAAAATATATATATGAGGAGCAACTAGGTGGAGCAGTGGATAGAGTTCTGGCCTTGGAGTCAGGAGGACCTGAGTTCAAATCTTGCCTCAGACACTTGACACTTACTGTGACCCTGGGCAAGTCACTTAACTCCGATTGCCTCAACAAAAAGCAATTTTATACATATATATATATATATATATATATATATATATATATATATATATATAATTGGTTTCCTTTGTAAACCATGTATTTTATTTTATGCATTTAGTAGCTAACATTTATATTAAAAAAGCATTCTCAGAAGGGGTAAAGAGGCTTCACCAGATTGTCAAAGGGACCCCTGACATACAAGAAGGTTAAGAACTCTTGTCCTAGGATTTCCTTCCTGGGTAACAATAACTTATTTTCAAAGTAGTAGTCATGGTCAGAATAAAGAGAATTTTAGTCCTTGGGATTGTTCCTAGGGTCTCTATTTTTGTTGTTGGTTTGCAACCTGCAATCAAAAGAACAACTTCAATACAACACATTAAATGGAAGCAGCAGCAGCATGGACTATTCCAAATTGCACAGAATACTACATATATATTTGTGTGTGTGTGTGTACATACATATATATATATATGTATATACACACACATACATATATATATACACACACATATACATATATACACACACTCATACATATATATATACACACACACATACATATATATAATATATAAAATTTAACTTTGGAATATATGATATGATTCTTTTTATAGCATGTTTGCCTTCCTAATTATTTTGATTAAGCAAATGTCAAAGTCATTTTATGCATTGATAGTATATGGGCTCAGGAAAATTAGAATCAGATTAAAATTTTATTGCAAATAATCCTATACTGCTAATCCACAAATGTGATAATTCACTGAAGGATCATGGAGAATGTAATGTATATCAGCTAAAGATGGAACAAAGGATCATGCCAATGGTACCAAAGAATCATTAGCAAATTAATGAATAAACTTTTTACCACTTTGCTATAAAAGAGAATAATCAATAACCTACAATAAGCACAAAAGAGAAGATATTAAAAATGAGACTGGAAATAAAAAAATCAAAACTGTAGAAATGGTAATGATGCCTAAGATAAACGCAGAAGGGATTAACTCTTAACCTAGAAGCATAGCTTCAGAGAAAAAAAAGGCTTATTCACAAGGTACTTTGCAGACGTGATGCTTAATATAAAGGGAGAACATTCATTCAAGCAAACAATGTGAAAAGTTGTCAAAAAAAAGTAGAAAAAAGAATTTGCTTATTATTCTTTTGTGTTTTGGGGATTAATGTAATCAATAATCATTAGGCTAAAAAATCAGCTAAGTAGGTCTTGGGTCCAAAAAGTTTGAACCTCAAGGATGAAACAGTTAATAACCTTCAATTATAATGCCACGTAGACTTTAAATACACACACAAAAAATCATAATTCAGGTTTTCAAGGTTATGATTATCTCTAGAACAAGCCGGTACAAAAGGCAAAGTTTCCATGTGACTTTGCAAAGTCAGATAAGATAATGGAAGAAATTTTAAAACCCAACACGCTCTTGTTGGTTACCCTGGAGGGAAAAACTTACTTAATATCGTGATAGGAGAATCGAAGGTCCCCTTTCCTTTCACTTATAATCAGGGTTCATATTATTCTAGTGGTGGTAGATTTTTGACCCATATTAGATGAAAATATCAGGCTATGCCTAGTATATATGTTATAAGTTATTTCTACAATTTTCATTGGTGTTTCATACAAATAAAAATGTATTGTTTTTACCATTTGTCACAATTTTGGATGGTGGAACAAAATTTTATGTGGAACACAGTAATAAGTATAGTATCTTTATTGACCTCAGTTGAGCTAAAGATCCCTGGCCTTGCCATCTGTCCAGCCTCTTCACTATTAGGACTCTGGGACTTTCCATCCATCCTGCATACAAACTTTCTTTTATGTGTTTTCTCTCTCAAATAAAATACATGCACCTTGAGAGCAGGGAATGTCTCATTTTTATTTGTTTCTCCAGTTCTTAGTACAGGGCTTAGCTCATAATAAGTGCTTAATAAATGCTTTTTCATTCATTCATTCAACTCATTTGTTCTCACTAAGGAGAGTAAAGAAACCTCCAGGTACTCTTGGGGATGAAATCTAAGAATAAAAAGGACATTATGAAGCTTGACCCTCTGAACCAAAATTGGAAGTCAAAGACAAAAATTAGGGAATGTCATAGCCTGGCTGTTATTATTTGCCTAAGGTATATATTCAGACCTGGTTGTATAAAGGTAGATAAGTTCGTGATCTGGCTGGGGTGAAGGGTATAAGACTATGATGAGAAAACAAGTTGCTATTACATTTTGGGGGGCAGTTGGGTGAGTGCTAGGCCTGGAGTCAGGAAGACTGAGCTTCCTGAGTTCAAATTTGGTGTCAGACACTTGCTAGCCATGTGACCCCGGCCAAGTCACTTAACCCTATTGGCTTCAGTTACCTCATCTGTAAAATGAGCTGGAGAAGGAAGTGACAACCCATTCTAGTATCTGTGCCAAGAAAACCCCAAAATGGGATCACAAAGAGTCAGACATAACTGAAACAACTGAACATGCACATCACATTTTATTTGTATTTTTGATGTCAGAAAATTCTGCTCTCCATATCAAATAGGTTCTTCATACAACACATTCCATGTCTCATCTCCTTTCCTTTGTCCTGGCTGTTTTTCATGTATTCGCTTCTCACTTTCAACTCTTAGAATCTCATTTCCTCCAAAACTTAGCTCAAAACTTACCACTCTCTATATTAAGTGTTTCCTGATCCTCCTAACTATTAGAGCCTTTGTAACAACAGCAGCAGCTGCAGCAGCAAGAAGACCTTGTATTTTGTATAAACTTACATATGTACACATTGTTTCTCACTACAATGTAAACTCCTTGATAGCAGTTACTGTTTCCCTGGAGTCAATATCCCCAGTGCCTCCAAAGTGCCTGATCAACATAGTAAACACTTACAGGTGGTTGAGTTAATGATGCCCTGCAATGGTGTTTGCTCCTCTGGAGGCTTAGAGTTTCTATTGAATAGGACTAGTGGGTGGGAGGGAGAGGTGCCCCTTAACTGGGGCACAGAAATGTTTTGTCACGACTAAGCACATAGGACAACTGGAGGTAGTCAGTCACGTAAGGCAAAAGGCACAGAATCAATACAAAACCCAATCCAGTAAGTATTTGCCATGTACTTACTTACAGGTACTTTGTGAGAGGATTGAAATATAAAGAAAAAAATTAAAAACAAAAACAAAACCCAACTCCTGACCTCAGTGAGCTGACATCCTACTCTGAGGAACATAAAATGAGAGAAATAAAAAGATAAGTATATGCATGATATTTTGAGGAAGTAACAACCACTAACAACTAGGGGCATCAGGAAAGGTTTTCCATGGGAGATGGCATATTAACTGGACATACAATCAAGAAGCAAAGGTGAAGACAAAGTAAACAATAGGTATAGGGGCCAATCTGTGCAAAGATAAGATATGGAGGGCTAAGTTTGAGGATGGTAGAAAGGAATTCTTAAGAACCATGTCAAGAGAGACTAACTAACTCTGTGGCTGGCTGTTGGGCAAATGGAATAATTTCTCTGAGTTCCAGTTTGTCATCTGTAAAATGAGTTAGTCTATATGATCTCTAATATTCCTTGTGAGGAAGAAGACCCGAATTTATTTATTTGGCTAGGCAATGGGGTTAAGTGACCTGCCCAGGGTCACACAGCTAGTAAGTATCAGGTGTCTGAGGCCAGATTTGAACTTAGGTCCTCCTGACTCCAAGGCTAGAGCTCTATCTACTGCACCACCTAGCTGCCCCAGAAGACCTGAGTTTAAATCCAGTCTCATACATTTACTAGTTGTGTGATCTTGGGCAAGTCACTTAACCTCCATTTGCCTAGGAGACAGCTAGATGGCTCAGTGCTGGGCCTGGAGTTATGAAGACCTGAGTTCAAATCCAGTCTCATACAGTTACTAGCTGTGTGACCCTGAGCAAGTCACTTAACCTCTGTTTGCCTTAATCCACTGGAGATGAGAATGGCAAACCGCTCCAGTATCTTTGCCAGGAAAATCCCATGGATAGTATGATCCACAGGGTAAT